GAAAAAATGCTTCTCTCTTTCTTTCTCTTTTCGTCTCTTATTACAATATCAAATACCAAAACAAGAAAAGAAAAATAAATGTTTACAAAAGATTGATCCCAATTATCAGTTATCAATCACCAGCAAGTTTATGATATAATCTAAAAGCATGGATACCAATGTAGATGAAATGTTAATGTATTAGTTATGTATGATATGCCAAGTAAATAAGCATGGATATAAAGAATCAGTTTTCTCCTTAGGAACTAGGAGACTGAGTTCTAATCCATTTTAAATACAAAACCTGGTGATTACTAAAAGAACCAGTTACTCCTTTTCAGCCTAGGAAGAAGCAAAGAACTTCAGCAAAATGCTGACAAGAAAACTAGACGGGGCAGTTCCCAGGAGTAAAACATGTCTTGAAAGAACAACTTTATAGCATCTGCAGCATGTGAAATATAAGTGATATATATTAGTTTATATGTATTTACACTTTACATGCATACTTGTATTTTTTTTTCTGTATACAACATCAGAAATTGAAAACAGGGATAATAGATCACAGGAATTTTCAGGTGGATTGTGTCCAAATATGGTAGCATGCTGGTGTGCTACACTATAAATGAGAGTGTATTGTCCAAAACTATTTCTATCAGATGAGCATCCCAACTTGCACTTCTGACATGGGGAATACCAAATTGCTAAACAGTGTCATATTAGGTTGTTTACCAGATTCTACAGGCAGCGAAATCTGGAAAGTCAGCAGATCAAATTTAATGGGTGCCTGATTTTATAGTTGATGTATATGCAATGTAATTGAATAAATATCTTCTCAGGGAAAAAAGAGTTACATGCATATTCAAAAATACTGAACTAATTCTGGAACCCAACACTCTTCTCTGTTTCAATAACTTTACCTCACACCACAGTTCATTATCAATGTCATATGTGTATTTTTCTACAGCATCGTGGTTTTCCAATACAGCATTAATTCTCTGCTGTGCCATTTCATTCCATCCCTTTCTCTTGCTGTGAGCCCTTTGATTAGAGGAAGGAGAATAAAGCTCATCCTGTGTTTCCAGTGCCTCAAGATTTTTTTCATCTGTTGCAGCCATTTCCTGATCTGGAATATCGTCATCATCACCCATTTCATGATCATCCTCACTCTCATAATCAACCTGCAAAAGAACATACCTGAATCACATTCAGTTTCACTAAACAGGAAAAGCAAACAGTATCATTGGTGCTTTCAAAACCATTCAAAACCTGATTCCACCTCCAAAATACAATAAGACTAATAAAAAAAATAAGGCTAATGTCATAAATTTTATATATATATATCTATAAAAAGATTTTCTTAAAAAATTATGTAAAGAAAAAATCCAAGTGTTTTGATTTCAGCAATATTTTGCTTAAATAAGAAATATATTTAAACACTATGGGAGAGAAAATTATGCTAGTAATTAGCTAGAGTAACATTACCAGGGAATATCATTTTATTACTGTACAGGAAATAGGACTGAATTAGAAATTACCTATTAGACTGATCGTGAGCAAACTTTACACTTCCAATGTGCCATTTATAGATACCACATGGCCTCCAATAAATGAGAACCATTTTTTCCCATGGCTATTAAAGACTGCTTATTGCTAATTTGTTTACCATTTATAGATATATTAAGTTGTACTAAGATAGACTATTATGCTTTGTCACAACAATATTATTAATATAATTATAGATCATGAAGGATTTAGCCTATGTTTTTAAGAGTTAATGCCTTCAAACAATAGCAATAGCACTTAGACTTATATACCACTTCACATTGCTTTTTACAGCCATCTCTAAGTGGTTTACAGAGTTAGCATATTGACCCCAACAATCAGGTCCTCATTTTATGGACCTCTGAAGGATGGAAGGCTGAGTCAGCTTTGAACCTGGTGCGATTCGATCTGGCAAATGGCAAGCAGCTCAGAGATGGTATTCAGCACCAGTCCTGGAGAACCGGTAGTGGAAAATTTGAGTATTTCGGAGAACAGCAAATACCATCTCTGATTGGACACTTTACAGTCTCGCTCCCCTGCCACACCTACCAAGCCACGCCCACAGAACCGGTAGTAAATTTTTTTGAATCCCACCACTGAAGCAGCTGGCAATCAGCAGAAGTAGCCTGCAGTACTGCATTCTGACCGCATTTGCAGAAGCTTGCATAGTCTTTTAATCAATAATTTGTACCACTTTGTTTGAAAGAAATAATAGTTCCAAACATTTCCTATAGCTGTCTACAGAGCTTTCTCTAGTTTGCTTTTGGACTGTTTTTCTACCTTCCCTTGCAAAAAAAAAAATAGTTCAGAAATAGTTTAAGATTTTCTCGTATACAGCACCATGAAGACCATTTGAAAAGTTTTATCTTTCTTTTCTATTTCCATTTAGTTACTGTTGGTGGAACATTAGTTTCTAGAATATGGTGGTGTTTAGTTGAATCTTTCTATGTACAGATTGCTATTGGTATTCTAATGTAAGAGTATCAAGATCATGTGAAGTGTTAGAACCGCTGGATACTGCACTGGTAAGATGACACTTGGAATACTGTGTCCAGATCTGGTAATATGATACAAAAATGATATTAAGATTCTAGACAAGTGCAAAGAAGAGTAACAAAAATAATTAGGGGGCTGGAAGCTAAACCATATGTTGAACAGATTCAGGAACTAGGTACATCTAATCCAATAAAGATAAAGACTGAGAGTAAAATGCTAGCAGTCTTCCAATATTTGAGGGACTGTCACAGGGAAAAGAGGGGTCAATCTAATCTCCAAAGCACCTGAAGGCAAGACAAGAAGTTGCACGTAGAAGCTTAACAAAGAGAAGTCCAACATAGTGTTTGGAAGAAATTTAGTGTCAGTGAGAACAATTAATCAGTGGAACAGTTTGCCTCCAGAAATTGTGAGTGCTCTGTCACTGTAGGTTTAAGAACAGACTGGACAGACATTTGTCTGGAATGGTATAGGGATTCCTGCTTGAGCAGGAGGTTGGACTAGAACAATGGCGAATCTTTTCGGCACCGAGTGCTCAAACTGGAACACGCCGGAAAACCAAAGACCAGCTGGCCGGGGCGTGCATGCCTGTTTTTTGGACCTTTTGGGGGGTGGTTTCATGTCATTTTGACATGAAAAAATGGACTTAAAATGGCCCAAAAAACAGCCCAGAGACGACATTCTTTTCAAAATAGAAATAGCTTCTGACTTTTCTTTTGTTTGAGCAGCCTATCTACTCTTTTTCACTTATTCAATTACTTAATTACATTTATATCCCATACTTTCCCCAGGAGCATATGCACACTTTAAATAGCATGACCCCTTCCCTTTTCTATAAGAGCCCTGAGTGTGAAATATGTTGGACTCAGAGCACGTTTTCACAGTTTAGGGTAGATTTGAACATGGAACTTACCAATCCTAGTCAAATACCTTTATCACTACATGTTACTAGTTATCTACTAAAATCAAGTGTTGATTGTTTGATACTGTTTACACTCAAATTCAATATACATTAATTCCAAGTTTCTGTGATGGACAGATTTTCTAATGGAGTTTATCAAAAACAACAACAAAAAACATCTATCATTACCTCATCTTCTTGATTTTCTTTTCTTTTTGTATCTGTAGCATCAGCATCACCTTCAGTCATTCCACTATCAGGAAGTCTGTCTTCTTCAGTTTCAGCTTCATTGTCATCCTATGTTGGTAGAAATAGGAATCCTTTTTCTAGATAATGTATTTTCTTTTATAGTATATTTAAAAGTAACCCTAGTTAACTGAAATATTAATTATGGAAGTTTCTCTTAAGGCTCCAACTTCCTCAGCAAGCATGACATTTTTCCTCATCCTACACTAGTTATTACAGAAATGTGATAGGCAATAGGACCTCAACACTGGTTTGAATTGTTTGATAATTTAATTAGCTGTTTACACAAAATTAATATAGCCATGTGAGTTCATGTAATGCATATGATAAGCCTCATTTTCTAGTAAAGTCTCCCCCCTTAATTCATCAGATTAATTGAAAGGCCCGGATAGATTAATTCATCCTTTTATTTCCTGAAGGAGGAAAAATTACCCAAGATTTTCCTTTTCATAAAGGAGCGTAATTGGTGAAAATTACTGTTTTAATCATTTAAGTTAAAAGGCTAGGGAGGATAATTTAGTTACTATGTAATTTTCTGGTTTTCCGGTTTCCCCAATTTCAGAGGAATCTTTTGCCTGATTTTGCAACCCAATTATACATTTCTAAAAAGAGGCTGACTTTAATTTCCCCATTTTATAAAATTGAAAAATAAGGAATCAGAAGAAACTCCTGCCCAATAATCTCCAAGAATCTCCAGTGAATACTTTCCATACTCTATATACGTATACTCAAATAATATGTGATGAATTTAGTAAAGTTTAAGTGTATTCATCTGTTATTGGAAATGTGTTGTAGGAAACTATTGCCTTATTATCATGTATTCCCTTTTTCCTAATGAATTTTTTTCATCATTTACAGTCATATGAAAAAGAAACTACATCCTCTGAATTCTATGGATTTATGTTATTTATGACATAGTAAAAATCACCTGGTACTTAGCAGTTCTCAAAAGTAAGTAAACACAACTTCAGATGAACAACACATGACATTAACATCATGTCATCATGGTATTTTACAAAAAGAAAACCAAAATGGAGAAGCCAGATGTGAAACAATAAGTACACCTTATGATTCTATAGCTTGTAGAACCATCCTTAGGAGATGGTTAAAGTAATAATAACTTAAACTAATAAATTTCTGTATGACTTTATTAGTCTCTCACATTGTTGGGAGGAATCTTTGCCCACTCTTCTTTACAACGTTGCTTCAGTTCATAGAAATTTGTGGGCATTCATTTTTGTGTACTCTTTGGTACTCTCTTCCACCACAGCATTTCAATCGGGTTGAGGTGTGGACTTTGATTAGGCTATTGCAATACCTTCGTTCTTTTCTTTTTCAGCCAATCTGGTTTTCTGGTGTGATTAGGATCATTGCCTGACCCATTGTTGACCAAGCATTAGCTGTCGGAGAGATGGCCCACCATCTCTCGGTTTGCCTGCAGCCACAATGGAGTAGAAGGCCATGCAGCGTGTTGGGATTGTCTGTCCCCCAACCCCACTGGGTGCCTCTGTCTGCTGCTACCACACATCGGAATCGCAGCCTCCATTAAATCAGGTGTCAATCCATCCCACCATCTCTTTGCTTGCCCACTTTGCTCATGTTTCCCTGAAAATAAATCCTAATATGTTTTTGGGCCCCTCCAAAAATATAAGACCTGGTCTTATTTGGGGGGAACCATAGTAGAAACAAACTTCTAAAACTTCAGCTTTTATAGAGATGACCACACTTACTGATGATCAATTGATCAAGGGCACCTGATTAGCAGCACCTGGCTACTTAGCCTCATTCTACAGAATGAAGCAGTAAGGGTTTATTTTACTTTTTCATGGTTTCTCCATTTTGGCTTTCTTTTTGTAAAATAATTACATAGTGTAATATGTTATGCATTATTGTTCATCTGAAGTTATATTTACCTACTTTTGAGAACTGCCAAGAATAGATGGTTTTTATATGTCCTGATTTGTAAAATCATGGAAAATCATAGAACTCAACTTGCCTGTGTTGCCCATGTTTCTCTGAAAATAAACCCTAATTTGTCTTTTGGGGCTCCAAAAAATATAACATCAGATCTTACTTTCAGGGGAACACAGTAGCAAATGTCATATACATTCTTATTGATGTTTAGCAATGTTTTAGACTTTAACATATTTTTATTGTTCTTTCTAGATAATTTTTATCTAGAAAAGACACATTTTCTATATTATTATACAATGGTCTGAAAAATTTCCTTCTCTTCCTGTATTTGAGAAAGAATGTTGTCATTGAAAGTCCCATCTAGAGAACCAGAAATATGGACTACATATATCAGTTTATATGTTTGATTAATGTATAAATATAATATGCAATGTAATTGGGTAGCATGACATGAAACATGTTCCAAAAAGAGGCAACCGAAAAATAAGCTTGATCTTTTAAAAAAGAGCAAATACACACACACACACACATACAATTTGAAGAGAAACCAGCTAAACTACTCTTGAAGAATGCACGTATATAAATATTGTTACATATTTACCATAGTCCTACAGAATACATAGAACACAACCAACAGATATATTTTAAACATATACATGTGCATTTATATCAATATGATTTTTTTCATTTAGCTTACTAAAGTTTTTAAATGCTAATTCAGCTAAGGGATCTACATCTGTACCTGATCTTCATGTGAAGCACCAATTTCTTCCTCAGCTTCTAAATCTTTCTGAATTGCTTTTCGAGTGCTGACAGCGTTATAAGATGCCAACTTTAAACTCTTCCTTTTAATTGTTTCCAGCAACATTTTGAAGAATCTGGGCAAGATGGATAAAAGAAATAGAATACAGTTTCTGGATTTCAGACTATAGAATGTTACAATATACCTTCCTAGATTCATCATTTCAGATGATAAATATAAAGGAAATTTCAAATCCCTTTTTAACATTATTCATTATTTATAATATTCAGTTTTAAAACAAAATTAGATATTTTTCTCCTGCTTCTGAAGTCTATTTTTTTTTCTGTACTCTATGAGAAAGGTATTTTAGTAACATTGAAAAAAAATATCCCAGTAATATCATTTTAAAAAGTTAGTGTTATAAGAACAAAACTGTACCTAAAATTTAAATCAGTAGCTAGTCCCCAATCTTAAATAAATGGATGAGGTGTGGGGTAGAGTGCGGCATAACTATTCATTTTCTCATGGAATGACAGCATTCATTCTCTCAGAGTGAAGCAAAGACAGAAACTGAACAGATCATAAGGTTCCCACCTAATCCTACAAACATACTGATGAATTTCAAATTCTCTTTCAGCAACACAATGAAGGTAACCATTTTGCAAGGGCAATATAAGGGCCTCTTTTAGTTTTCTCGGGCACCCAAGTATGGCCACATGAATGAGGTGAAAAAGGGAAAATTGTCAATGATAAGAAGTAAAAAAGTCAGTAGAAATATTCTTCCTCTGGTCTAGACTTTTGTTTTCTTTGTTCTTCTGCATCTGAACAGATTTTGAAAAGCCAGTGCATTGAACTTCCATATAAATTTCACTATACAGGCAGTCCTGAATGCATCAAGTAAAAAGAATGGCAAAATCTTGCTATTATTATTAAAATTATTTATGGCAGTTTCCCAAAATTTATGGTGCTGTGTCTCTGCAAACAAATACATTAATTTGCATGGAATCTCCTTCCCCCAAATGAATAATGGTATTGATGATGAAACCACCGAGAGAGCATACCTAAGAAAGCAGTGTTACCTAAGATAATGAGCTCAGTGCCGTATTTTCTTTCTGGCTCCAAGGAGCCAGGAATGTACCTTTCATTCTCATCAGCCATGCATCATATACAACTCCATTCCTGGTATCTTAGGAGTGAGAGCTCAGCAAAGTCCTTTCTTCAATACTTCTGGGCTCCCAGGGATTTGTGAGGATTCTCATGACCCCCACAATTTCCTCCTCAATGGCTGGTATCTTCCAGTGTAACAATTGGAAACTTGTCAGGAGAAGATACTGACCTTTTCTCCATAAAATGTAAGATGTCCCTTGGTTTCACACATTTTTCTTCTTGATAGCATTCATAAGGCAGAAAACTAAATCTGATGGTATAGACGCGATGCTTGCTTAATGTCCCTTCCAAACACAAAGTTTCTTCAATATCCACTTTGTGTAACACCTGAAACAATAAAAAAATTGAGTGTCTATGAATGCTAACAATTTGTAACATCATGCTTTCTCATTCTCTAAATCATCTGTCCACTTCACAAATTTAAAATTGGAGGAGGAATATGGACCATTATTTTTTTTGAATAAATGTACCCTCCACAGAAAATTTACAATTTCAAGATGATAAAATGAAAACGGCACTAAGGCTTTGGTACTCTCCAGCCATCTTCATACACATAAACCAAATATTAAGATTCAATTGGGTAGTGAACCTCAAATTCAAGTGCTTTACAGCATAGCAAAAATGGGGTTTATAAGTTTTCACTTCCCCATTTGCCTCAATTACTTCCTTATTAGTTGAAATGTAATCTTACATGGCTTAAAAACAAATTTTAAGTAATAAACAGAAATTATTCTAATTAGCATTTCCATTTAATACCCACTAACTATACTTCCTTTGTACTGAGTCACTATAAGCTTCAATGCCTGGAGTTTATAATCAGTCTCTACAAAATTAGGCAAAACAAAGCTAGAATGATATTATAAAAATGTGCACATCATGTAATAGGGAAATGAAAACCAGTTAAACCCATTCGTCCTAGAAAATAAAAGAAAGGCTGCCTGGCACATCTTGAGGAAACTGCAACCATTCTGTAGAAAGTAACATGAAAAAATCCTATTTACTTTTTTTTTAAACCCTCAGAGCTAATATGATTCTTCTACCCATACAGGACTTACCTCACCTAAGCACACTCTGCTAAGCTTCTTCTTGAGCCTTTTCACCCTTTTGTGAGCTTTCTTGATATTAAGAACAGGAACGCTCATCATGGGAGTTTTGATATTAGCACTAGCTACCATCAGAATCTCCCGCAACCTTTAACAAAGATGTATTGCACGTTTAGTCACAAAGACAGTTAATGCTAAGAGAAACATTCAAAGTCTGACTTTGTCTGCTGCCTTCATTATCATTAAACAGGACTAAAAATACTCTCCCTAGAAGTCAGAAACTCACTTATCTAAGGAATAGAACTACCATAATCTGAAGTAACAAAATAATAATAGCAGCAGAAAGTAAGGCGGTATTCTACTTTTCTATTAAATAAATCAAAGCAACACGCAGTGATAATAAACCTGAATCAAATAACCTTTTTAATGGAGCTCCTATACAATGTCCTGTGCCAAGAATCAACTGTAATCAAGCCAATTTAAGTGATTTAATTGGATGTTGGACACTATCAAGTTCAATAAATCGTTATTGTTGTCGTTATTGAAAGCTTGAGACAACATATCTTCCCTCAATTATCTCAGGATTGAAAAAAATATGCAATTTGGGGTACTGTTGGATTACTTACCACTAGTCCTACTGGCTGGGATTCATAAAAGCTATAATTTATCAATAACTAGAGAACTATATTTTGCACATTTCAGCACTGGTCTATCATTAAACAGCAAAAGCATTTTGTCATGGTAAATAATGGAGACACTCACTTGTTTGTGGGTTAGCTGTTAAAAAGGAGCGTTTAGGATAAACAGACTTGGGTCTTATGTCTTCTACTTTTCTCCCCATGTTATACTAATTGGTAATAAAGCATGGGAAGGTGAGATTCTATCTTACCTTGGGATACCAAGGGTAACATTCATTTCACCTCTTCCAGCAAAGTGAAAGGTATTCAGGGTCATCTGGGTGGAGGGTTCCCCAATACTCTGAGCAGCAAGAAGTCCCACAGCTTCTCCAGGATCACAGAGTGATTGTTGCCATTTTAAATAGAGCAGCTCCTGTAATCTGAAGACACCAAGAAATAATTTGATAGTTTAATTTATTAATTTAGTTTCTGCATTCCTGTAAAAATAGTATAGAGGAAGCATTTTACTGTAAGTGAAATAAAGTTGCAATGATGCATAATAGAAACATCATAATGAAAAAACAGGCTAAAGAATATTTCCAGAAAAAAATTCTACAAAATTCACTAGAATAAGCATCATCTGTTTGTGTGGAATAAATCCATAACCTGCTGCTGCGATTTTAGTTTCTAATATAGAGTCCAAATTGCATCCACCACAAATGACAAGACCTTAACATTTTGTTTCCTCATTTATACATCAAATCATGCTTCATTTAATTATTTGTTTCTCATACTTTAATCTAACCCTGAGCTAAGAGCAAGCCCCACTAAAATTGGCATGGCTTACATCCAAAAAGCTTTGCGTTTGTTTGATTTATTTAAAAAATGGATAAACACACACTTCATCTTTATGTTTTTCTCTCTCAAGATTTAATGCAGCATCATCTCTTTTTAATGTCCAACTTAGAAAAGTGATAAAAAACAATAACAGCCTCTTCATTACAACAGTTATTCCTTGAAAAGGCAATTGTATGAAAAGAAACAAGAAAAGATGAAATTCATTACTTAAGTTTTGATTGATAAAATTTCAACAAAAAAGTGCTCACTTGTTTTCTAAGAAAACTTATACTCAATCTCTTAGATTTGAGCAATCTGTTTAAAGACTAAAAGAATTTCTTAGCGGATGAAGAAGCTGCTATAATAATAAATGGATTGATACAAACTGAAAACCTCAATTCAATGAGATTTTGTGCTATTATTCTATGATAGAAATCCAATGTTTCTTAGAAGAGGGGTAAAACATAGGTGTGACATGCTAGATTCTGAACAAGAAGCACTGGGGTTAATAGATCAACATAAATGAAATTACTACCTCTGTGAAGAAAGTTCAGATTTGCTATAATTAAGCCTATTCCGAGCATCCCACTCTCCAAGGAAAGTCTTAACTTCATTTTCAAATGTTTCAGACACTGATGCAAAATAAATATCTGGCCGCCAAACTGAAAGGCTAGGATCAGGACACCTTGCTGCCCTCTTCTGATACTTTCTGCGGGTTTTTTCATTCAGTTCATACCACATATTTAATAGCTGTAATGGATACCGGAATTAAAAAAGGAAGTGAGATAGTTGAATTATTTATTTGAATATTACAATATAGTTGAATGAGTAGTGAAAGATATATTTATCAATTGTGGAATAACCTTAAGAGCTGCAGGATCTCGGCCATATGCAGATATTCCTCCTGTAGAGATCTCAGCTTTTACATCACCCAACATTTCTTGGGAAAACAGCAAAAAGCCTCCTTTCCTTCTCAAAGAGTGTTGATGCTTTGCTTGCCATCTATTGACTAATTTAAACTGCTTAGATGCTTGCTGAGGATTCATTTTTGGCATAACTTCATCTAAATGCTTAGATTTCTGTATCACCTATAACAAATGCACAAAATCCATTTTTTTTTGAAGGTTGAGTATTCCGCAACGTTTAAGTACACTACCCACAGTATCAGTTAAAACTGTTCATTTAGAAAGCAATGTTATTACTCTATAAAAGAATTCCCTCAATGATGATACAAATGTACTCACAAAAAACCTATACACCCTATAGTTTAACCAGACCATCATATTCAGTCGTTCATCACAATGAAACTAATTATTCTTAGTGACCAGAAAATGATGTGACCATAAAATGGAAATCATAGTTATGACCTTGAGATCCCAATCCAACTATCGTGAAGTAAAGAGTATATTTTACGAACTTGAGATACGCACATGGTATCCCAAAAGCCATGAAATTCCAAGTCAACTCCAACTCCAGATTTCAGAAATTCCAAAGC